TCATGTAACTTTTTTATTTTTCAAAAATTGATGTATAACTACAAAAGTATAATAAACAAGTGTCTTAATAGTCTTTGTCATGATATGCAGAATCCAATCCGGCCGCGATTTCTTTATCCCATGATGCGCCATAGACCCATCCCTGTCTCATCCCTGTCGGTTCGTAGATGTGATGTAAAGCCACATAAAATACAAGTTCACGATGTCTCTCTCGTAATTTAAGTCTTCAATAATCGTTTTATATTTTTTTCAATGTCTTGAGCATGTTCGGAAGCTTGCAAACGGATCTTTCTCTTTAAGCGACGAATTTTTTTCGCATGAGACGACCCCGCCATGTCTTCACATGTAAACAGTTAGTGGTCCAATGTTTTTCTCCTGTTTCTTTCAAGAAAATTATACCATCGGGGTGAATATTTGACATCTGTCAACGCTTCCAATTGTCCGATCAAATAGACATCTCTCATCAGCAAATTGTTATTCGGATATTTGTCATTCATCCAATTGTGATAAGTACTAATGACATCTTCGAAGTCGAAATCTTTCCCGCAGAGATGGTTCTATCCACACAGAAACAAAAAACTTTCCCGCTCAAATTCTATTTGGGTTCTATTACCACGCCACGCAGGTGGAAAAACTGTTTTTAAACGCGTGACACTAGGTATTGTGTGACATTCATATACAATTTACATTCTTTACATTTTTCGAATTCTTGGCATATTTCGTCGTAGTCTACAAATACAAAGACTACAAATACTACTCAAGTATAAATCGCATCTCTTTAATAGTACTCATTGGGAATAGTGTTTGTAAAGGTAGTCCATTTTAGGGTAGTCCATCCGGTAGTCCATCCGGTAATCCATGGACTGGGGGGTCAGTATTAAGTGTTATATCTACGACCGGCCAAAACAAGCCTAAAAAATTGTTGATATATGCAAAAGCTCAACGCATAATTTGAATAGTGAAGTCACGGGTTTATGTCAAAGCTCAAGGCTAAAAGCTGTTTGGTTGATTGCTTGAGGTAAGAAATCTGTCTTTGTAACATTTATAGTTTACCAGTTAGTATCCGTAGTGCTTGGATCCAAGATTTCACTCATAAACTGACTTAAACGGTGTCATTTGGCTCTACGTTGAGCTAGTATTGTTCTTCTCCTAACCGAGGCAGGCGAGTTGCGTGCGGCATCGTGTAGAGCACTTAAAAAATCAAGAACGCAATACACGAATTGGACGCGGCCTTTGCCAAAGCATAAGTACAAATCAGAAAAGAAGCGTAAAGCGATGTACCTCTAAAAGACTCAACTTTTGAAATAATTTTCTCGAGTCTCTTTTTCATAAGCGTTAATCACCCGTTCGTTGTTATGCATGAAGTTAATAGATGATAGAAATGTCGGCAGAAACAACAGTAGCCTATGAGACTAATGCTTTGCTTTCGAAAATTGTGGGGTTATGTAATTATATATCTTTCTACGTGTTAGAACGTGTTAGTGTAGCTGAAAGACGAATATCAATGCAAAATGTAAGCGTTGTCAATATCATTGATATGATAATTTCATGTGAACGATATGTTGAAGTTAGCTTGTTTACATGTCACATCAGCGTCAACAAAATCTGGATCGGACCCGACTAGATCACGGATCGGATCAAGGATCGAAAAAAAATTTTTTGAAAAATTTAAAAAAATCCAATTGTTTATAAAATATTAATACTTTAAAAAGAGTTTAAAAAAAAAATTAAAATAGGTTTATTGACGTAATGGACCGTAGGCCCCACTGGAAGTTTTTTTGCCCCAAACCCCATGTGTCACTTTCATGGACCACAAGAATCGCTTACGTGCACTTCAGCACTCATTTCTAGAACAATCTTACTCCTCATCCCGCCTCTTCTCTCGCCTGTGCTAAATGACATTGAATAAAGGAAAAGTAGTACGTGTCATGATATTGTAAAAATAATGATAATAACTGACTGGTGAAATGATACGCACCTCTCGCTTTTTTTCGATGCGTGATCTGATCCGGTCCTTGATCCGTTCCATGATCTGATCCGGTCCAATACAGATTTGGCGACGCCGCTTGTCACTTTCACCTTGGTTCGTTGCTATGTCTTCAGAAGATTCCGCTCTGAGATACAAAAGAGATAATCTGTTCCCAATTATTCATTTGTCTAAAATCACCTCCAAATCGTAGCTTAAGCGCCATTGCTTTTGTTTCCAAGTTCGTTTCTTTAAAATGAAACTTGCTTCATTTCTTTGTTTTCCACGACCGAAGCGTTACAACGAGTAGATAGGTTTGTGATGTAAGTATGGAAATATGATAGGCAATTTATAAAGGTGAGTTGAAAGAATAAATAGCGTACATGGAGGCAGTGTGATTGTTTCTTGCGAGGTAATTTTGACGCTTTCTAGGACTGTGCGAGGCTGTACCAGTGAGGTCGTAACGTATTCAAAACTCATCATTAGAGAAGTAATGTTTGATGAGTTTCGGTTGCTATTATTCAAACTAGCTGGACCATTGAGACAACGAGTTATTTTGAATTCATTACTCGCATATCACATGCGAGACTCTAGTGCAGAAATAAGTTGATTTTTTTGAAACAATTGCCTCTTCACACGAACTTCGAGTTGTATTACAGAAGAGGGTAACCCTCTTATCGTCAAATTTTTGAAATCGCTTATATGAAACAAGAGGAAAGAAAACACTTAATGAGATCCTCATCAACATGGCAACAACGGGGTGATGGGACTCAACAACCTTCAGATCAACTGACTGTCATAGCCAGGAGACTGAAAAAATGATGGTAAAAGAGACCATGTAAAGCTACTTGTTTTTACCATTGTGTTGTACATATTTATTTGTTTAACATTGTACTGCACTCTTCTGACAGGGAACATGAGGAGCCTTGTGGATTGTTTAGCGATTTGTGCAATCTTTGTTTGGGTTCCAGCTCTTGGAAAACCAGTTAAGAATTCAGAATGGATAGAACTCTCTTACCCATTCAACAATGAGACTATCTACTGGCCAACAGCAATGAGTTTCCATCACTCCTTGGTGTTCGAAAATTTCACTGCTGATGGGTATTACTACGCTTCATACGACATCAGCGCCTCTGAACACGGTGGCACCCATATCGATGCACCAAGGCATTTTGCGGCGGGAAAATGGACAACAGACCAAATACCCCTTGATCATCTCATTGGGCCTGCAATAAAGATTGATTTATCTACCAAAGCCGACAAGGTGAAATTTTATCATTATTATCAAATTAAATGAAACGATAAAACGATAAAGGTAGTGCTCTTTGCGTTGCAATTACTTTACCTCTGTCGGGGCTAGGCGTCTCCGATCAAAACACAGGTTCTTAACAAAAACATACCCTTATCATTACGCCACCCATTTCAGTAAACTTGTATTGACTTTTAAATTTTCGAAACCTGTTGAATTATTTTCGCTCCACTGGTTAGTAAGTTGTTTCACCAGTTTCTTATAGTTAATTAGTAAAGAAACTGATATCGGTATAATATCACGATAATATTCTTACAGCTGATAGGCTTGTCTTTTATCATCACCTATATGCTGGAGAACATCTTGAAAATCTTAGGAGAAGTTATGAGGGTAACTTAATTGAGTGGAGAGCGATTTGGTCTGTGTTGCGGAATTCTTATAGCCCCACTCGCTGGTTCAAACAAATCAAGAGGACTGTATCTTTCGATGTAACACGATTTAATGTACAACTTTCACGTATTCAACGGTCGTAACACAACTATCAACGATCAACGACCAACTAACACATTCTAGGTAAACAGAGGGTTTTTCTACTATCCTTGCGTAAGGCAGTATTTTTACATTAATCACATGTACAGTAAAAGTTCCCATTGCAATGCATCTAAATTAAGTGACTATGAAAAAATCGCACGTTCTTTCACCTTATTTAGCCTAAGAAAATGCATGCAGTTACATCATTTTATATCGTAAATGTACTAGGACTTTGTCTACATTTTTGTGAAATCTAATGTCACGAAATCTAACTTCTTTGC